TTAGATCAACATCTTCAGGAAAAGTCTGTGGTAGTGCAATCTGAACCAGAAGAGGATGTAGTCCATGAGAGATGTGAACAAACTACTGTGAAAACGAATGATTTACAGGTCAAAATAGCAGAAGAGGCAAACGAAGAGCTTCAGACAGATGTAATTGGAGACAGAGAATCAGTGTTGGAAACTCGATTCCAAGAAGTTTGCATAGAGAGAAAGGCGCACAACCAGCAATCTACATCTGAAAAAAATATGTCTGGCATGTTGTCACTTCTTAGCAGTGACTTAGATCAACATCTTGAGGAAAAGGATGTGGTAGTGCAATCTGAACCAGAAGAGGATGTAGTCCATGAGAGATGTGAACAAACTACCATAAAAAGTAATGATTTACAGGTCAAAATATCAGAAGAGGAAATCGAAGAGCTGCAGACTGATGTAATGGTAGGCAGAGAAATACCAAGTTCAGTGGTAGAAACTCCATTCCAAGAAATTTGCGTAGAGAGAAAGGGGCACCACCAGCCATCTACAACTGGGAAAAATATGTCTGGCATGCTATCAGTTCTTAGTCATGACTTAGATCAACATCTTCAGGAAAAGTCAGCAGTAGTGCAATCTGAACCAGAAGAGGAACTAGTCCATGAGAGCTACAAGCAAGTTATAGCAGTAAAGGATTTCAAACAAGAAACTCATGCCTTATCTCCTGAACATAAAATGATGTCACCAGGAGATACAATTTTTGACAGAATGGATATCACTAAAAAACAACCTTTGGAAAGTGGTTGGCACACATGTTCTAAAGAAGATGAAAGCCTGAAGAGTTTTTCATCTGGGGAAATTAAAACGGAGTGGATGGTGGATGGGAAGTCATATGCACATGACTATAAAAGTGACCATGAAGATGTTAGTGTTGCTGTCTCTGATTCTGTTCTTTTTCAAGTACCAAGTAGTTTTAACACACTACAGCGACCGGCTGATTTAGAAAATCTAAACACTGTTGTATTTGATGACCCAGCTAATGAGTCATGTCATCAAGATTCACTAGAAGCTAGCCCTCTTGTGGAGGATAAATCGTCACAGAAATCCCCTGATTCAATTGAACCAAGCCCTACCAAAGAATCTCCTTGTCCAGACTCTCTTGAGGGAAGTCCTACTCAGTCAAACAATGCAGATGTTAAGATCCCAGCAAAGACTGCTGTATATGAAGATTATGCTTCCCAGCTCAGAGCATGTTTTGCTTATGACGAAAATATTTCCTCAGATGAATGTGAGCATGTTGAGCATGATAACAATCTTGAGACAACTGAAATACACAGTGAAAATAAAGAAGACAAATATTCTGAATCCACAAAGAGAGTAGCTCATGGTGAGAGTCTTCACATGTTTGTAAGGCAAGGCTGTTTTGATAAAGAAGAAAGGGCGGTTGATGGCACCAATAAACAGTTAACACCAGAAGAGGAGATGTTTAAAATGGCTGCAAAGATCAAAACATTTGAGGAGATGGAACAGGAGTCTAAACTGCGGATAGAAAAATCTTTTGATGCTATTGTACTATCAGAAACAAATGGTCATGAAAATGGTGAGGTTGATCTTAAATCTGGCCCAGTTTCACAGTCTGTCCCACAAGATACAATAGAGAAAATAACAGAGAAATGTGTGACAGAAAGCATTCACAGACAAAAGGAGGCACTGAATATTACTTTTAATAAGAAGGAAGAAACTCAGTCAGATCCTAAAAGTACTCACTCAGTTGACAGTTCACTGTGTTTAACTGCAACTCCAGATGAACCTGATCAAGAATGTGAGTACTCTGTGCCACACAAAGATAAAGACACTATTGGAGGTGCAGTCACTGACATTCCTTTTTCTGGCTCAGATGAACATCATTTAAATGATGACAAAAAAGTTGGATCACCATTTACAATCGGTTCAGCTTCAGTCAGCCAACCTCAGACTACGGTGTGTACTAAAGAAGGAGAATTTGTTGTAGAGTGTGAGGGTCTTTGCATTTCAGAGGACAGAAAAACACCAGATAAAACACCAGGTGATGAAAAAAACCCTGATCCATTTCAGTTTCAAGAGGGAAAGCTATTTGAAATGACCAGAGGTGGAGCTATTGACATGACAAGAAGCCTTGATGAAGAAAGGGAAGCATATGCATTTTTTCATATTGGGAAACATCCAGTTGATGAAGTTGTCCCAGAAGAGACTGAACACTCTCAATCAAAGTCTTTAACTTTACAGATGAATGATTATGTCTCAGATGTAACCCATCAAGAAACCCCAAATTCATATTTGACTCAGGGTACCAGTGACAAAGCATCTAGTGCCAATTCTGAAACTGTCATCGTAGCTACAAGTGGAAAAGTTACTAAAGTTGAATGTGCCAGCTCTAGCTCTGCTTTAGACAATAAAAGCCTTGAAAGTCTCGGTCTAAGCTATCTAGACTCTACCATAGCCGATCTTCAATCAGACATATCCACAGTCGCTCATTCATTCTACTCAGACCAGAGCCATGATTTCTCAGATGATGATGATGATGATGATGATGATGATGACGTTGAGGAGGAAGAAGACCAGTGCTCAGTCATAGAGATGGCCTTTTCATCTGGTCAGCCTAGCATGCCAGCATATAATCAGGACTCACCCACACCTTTGACAAAACCAGCCACGGCAGTTAAGGGAGATGGTCATTATAAAAAAGCCAAGAAAGACACACAGATATCTCAAGTTCATGGAGAAGAAAAAAGTTCCACCTTAGCCCGTAGGACTAGATCTGAGGCTAGTGACATAAATAAATCCTCTGTAAAAGACAGCAGGAGTTATTCTGATAGTAGTCAGCCCACTAATACAACTGACCTTTCCCCTTCCAAACTTACTGTAATGACGCAAGAAAAAGCTTTACCTCATATGATCTCGACATGCTCTTCTCCAAGGAAAGACAGCCAACTGTCCAAGACTATAGAAACATCTGTTAGGCCTTCTTTGGATACCGATGATATAAGTAGCGCTAGTCACAAGAGCCCAGATTCTGTTATCTTCACATATGACATTCCTGCTTCGCATAGTTCAGGTTCTGATGGCAGTAGAGTAGAGCCAACAGAGCATTTGTCTTGTGAGACAGAGGATGTATTTGAATCCAGGCCTGCCTGGAATGAAACAGTGGAAACTCAGATGCAGAGAGTCATCGATGACCAAACTTCAGAATGTACGGCAGGTATGGCCAGACTCAAAGTGGGTTTTTACATTCTTATCTCTTCCTCTCAGCTGCAAGAGCCTTTTACCTCCTCCTAAGAACAATATCAACATTACTCATTTTGCATTGCTTTCATATGTTGTGACTTGTCTGGTCCCACCTTGCACAGTTTAGTGTATTTTGTATGTGAGTATGTGTGCCCCTATGTGTATATTTTTGTGTTGTGCATGTAAGTTACTTTCCCATCTGTGTTTGTGAATATGCAGTCTCAAGATTGAATGGCCATGTTGGCTAAAGAAATAGTCTAAGTAGTTTTAATGAAGACTTATTCATTATAGATGAATGAATGATTATTATATGAGAGTATTGTCTGTACTAATAATCCAGCTTTACTATTATCAAAATAAGGAAAAGTAGATCTATAACATTACTTACACTAATGACTGAAAAGCATGATGTGCTGACCGTGACTAGTCATTTGTAAGAAAACATTAATTCGTATCAAATTTCAGCCTTTATGTTATCATCTACGTCATTATTACAGATCTACATTTATTTTACAGCCTATAGCATAGAATCCTCGTGAAATATTATTTTACACGTACATATTCACATAATATATACCTGCAATATGTAAAATAAAATTTTACTCAGTATATTTTCACTTCAGGAGTTGTTAACATTTAATGTTTGGCTATGTTGGCATTTTTTTTAGTCGATTGGCAGGTGGATGCTGACAGGAAAGAGGAGACATTAGCTATCATTTCAGATCTTCTTGGCTTCAGCTGGACTGGTAAGCTGTCAAATTATGCAATTAATTTTAAGTTTTATATTTTAAATTTTACATATGCAATGTACTTTAGGAAGAGGCTGTATTTTAGGTAGAGGCTGTATTTACTGCACTTTTGTGTTATTTTAACTTTAACTCAACTATTCATCATCAGGAACAGATGATATTATACATAATTCAACTCTTTTGTTATTTGATTTGTTCTCCACCTCTCAAGAACTTGCAAGAGAACTGGAATTCAGTGAAGATGATATTCAGCTAGTGAGAACAGAGAATCCTAATTCCCTCCAAGAGCAGAGCCATGCTTTACTGCAGCGCTGGGTTGAACGTGAGGGCAAACACGCCACAGGTCCATACCATTTTGTCCTGCCAGATATGCCTTTATGAAATTATTTGTGCATTTGGTAAACCCATATTCAAATCGCTGATTGAATACAAATGTTATATTTTCAGTTTTTAAGTAATAGAAATGAATGTCTTCTAGTCATCTATTAATAAATTATTGATTCTTCCACAGAGGACTGTCTGATTAAGAGGCTGACTAAGATCAACCGCATGGACATTGTTCATCTTATTGAAACCCAGATGAACAAGTCAGTTCAAGAGCAAACATCTAGAACTTATGCAGAGATAGAGAAGACACTGGATCACAGTGAAGGTAGTTGTACTTCTTAGCACATTAAAAACCCTACCTTACACCAAGCTCCCTGTGTGTTTACGTTCATTCATATATATATATATACATATATGTATTGTTTTTAGTGTCAGTAGCCTTATCTTCAGTCCAAGAGGATGCAGATAGCCCCAGAGTTGTGAGAAAAGTGGAGTCAGATCGCAGACCACCCCCAGCTGTTTCAGAAGAGGACCTCTCAGTCGCGTCCCTACTGGATATTCCTTCGTGGGCAGAGCCTGTTGGACAGATCCATTCAGAGAGCATCCATGGTGACCTATTGGAGGAGCTTGAAATCCCGCAGTGAGTTGTTCATTTGAAAATATTCCTGACTCTGCAAAATGCACTGGCAGTGCAACACAATGTCAGATCAAACTACTCCTTTTCTCAAGCCTAATGTTTCCCACCAAGTTGTCCTCAGGAAACAGAACAGTGTCCTATCCTGCTTCAGGCTGTTCTTTGTGTCATATAGTGGGTGCAGTTCTTTGGGTGTGTTTTCCTTTTAGCTTGTCAGATTAGGACTCTGAGACGCACATTTATCATCAAAGTTAGATTTTGTGACATATCTTTCTTTTTGTTCTGCAGTGAGTTGAATCCTAACTTGTGGACCTCTGAGGATGTAATTACACGTGAATCAAGTCAAGACAACTTAGATGAGCAAGTAAGTATGCAGCCCACTTCAAAAGAAGCTGCATTTGGGAGCCAAGCAACTCAAGTTTATGACCCCAAAGTGAAAGACCAGGAAGCTCATTTCATCAGCTCTTTCCAAGGTGGAGCTCAAGTCAAAGATGGTCAAAGCTTAGAGCACTGTGGGTGTGAAGACAAGCAAGGTCAATCGTGTGAAATTCACTCATCTCACTCATCTTTTTCTGTCAGAGACTTTACTCTGAGGCTGTCAGAGTCAGACAAAATTGAAACTGATGTCAGTAAGCTTTGTAATGAATTACATTGTGCACCCTTGTTTTGCAGTAGAGATCCAGCCAGTTCTAGTGAGATCACAGCCCAGTTCAAGAGAGTACTCTATAGTCATGACAAGACCACACAGGTTTCAGGTGTGGACATGGACACCAAACCCTTCAAGTTAAGCAAAGAAGAAATAACAAAGTGCAATATATATAGTGAAGTCATTCTGGAAAACTTGCCCTTCATTGATGATAATGCTGATATGCAGGCAACTGAACTCAATATTGCAACAGCTAAGTCCAGCAACGTGAATCCATTTAAAAATGACATACAGACAATGATGCCATGCAGTCAGACAACCTGTCGCCCTCATTGTATGGCTTGTGACTCAACTGAGATGATCTGTAATTGTTATTCTACTACTCCAAACAGTAACAATGTTGTAGCAGAAGCAAACAGGTCCTGCATTACTGAGCCAGAGAATTTGTCTTTCCACTATTTCCAGCCTGTCACTTATCTCACACTACAAACACCTGAGTGTGGTATCACATTACCTTCCACTTTTATAGACTGCAGCCGATTGACCCCTGATTCTTTAGCATCTGAAGAGCAGTGTGGCTCCCTTTCTCCCGCTAATGAAAGTAATCACTTCCTTCCAGATGCATGGATGTTAAATGAATCTGTACCTAGATGGTCATCCCCCGAATCTGTCATGTCAGTTAGTGATTATAGAGCAATGTCACCTGACTCTCCTCAGGGTGGGGAAAGAGTATTACCTCCAGACTTTTCAAGTATATTTGATGAGACTTATGAACTCTCTGTTATGTCTGAGAGATGTAGTTCTCCAGAAGTTACAAACAACTTCACTGAAAATGAATATAACACCTGTGAGTCATGTAGTTACGACCACAAACCGCTTTTTGGGTCAAAGGCTTTTGTTCCTGTAATTTCCCACTCTAGACCAGTATCAAATGACTATCTAATCTCTAAATATAGTCCAAGACATGAGGGTGAACATTTAAAGAAAGAATCCAGAACATTCTCACCTGTGATAGTAGAAAATGAATATGATCATTCAGTTCACAAAGGAATATCTTCACCTGACTTGTGTGCAGCTATTCATGACAATTTATCTACAGATAGGGATTGCCGACCATCTTCCCCACAATCACAAACTTCTCAGTGCAGTTTTTCATTTCTTGAACTATTGCTGTCACAGCCAATTCGCACACAGCTAATGAATCAACACTGTCATTATTATTTACAATATTCAGGAGAAAATCCATCCTCACCATCCCTGATGTCAACTTCTTACCATAAATTCAGTGTAAAGGAAGCAGGTCAAAGTAGCCCTTTGATGGAGGATTATGTAGATTGTGATTGCCCTCCGTCTGTCCCCCAGCAATCTGCCACATCAGTTTATCTTCCACCACATTTTTCTGCTTCACAGCACCAGCATAAAGCATGTGATGTCAAGCAATATACTATAAAGAATTGCTCATCTCATCTTAATAAATGGCGAGATGATAAAACCACAGATGCATCAGATTCATTGATATGTCACATGAAAGGACGAGAAATACCAGCTACTCTTACATGTGTAGAAGTCAAAATCATTGACACTGAAGACTTGGGCTGTTCAGCTAAAGAAGAAGAGTCATTTCAATTTAGGCCACTAGTTTCTGGAGTCCAAAAGTTAAGAGAGGAAAGGAGTCAATCTTACCTTGATTACTGGTTTTCAAAGCTGGAAGCAGAATCTTTAGAAAATAATTCATTACCAGGGAAGTCAGTTGAAGATTTAACAACAAAGCCAAAATTGGCTCCAGAATACAATGAAAGGAAAGAGACTATAAATTTGACTTCGGTGAAAGAATTATCATTAGGAAACTCTTTCTCACCTACCAAAGACAAACACCAAAAACTTGAAACTTGTGACAACTTGCAAAAAATATCTATAGCCCAACCACTTGTGTTTGACTTAGTGGAGAGACCAAAATACATTTTGGACTTTCCAACGATAACTCAATTCTCTAACACAAAAAAACCCTTAAAGGAAACTGTAAACAAAGAATGTCAGTATGCATTATTCACAACTGAGAAGGAAGCACTAAGGCCATGTTTGAAAATTTCAAATACATCACTAGGAAAAAAGAGGGATTATGTATTTCCTGTAGGTACAAAATTTTTGGGGACCGTATGCCCTCTAATTGAAAAGGAGTTAACCCTTATCAGTGACTTCAGAACAGTACCTACACAAGTTTTTGAGGATAACAAAAAAATTTCAAAAGATTTCTACTCTTCAGATATTAATCTTACACGCTCAACTTTTAATGTAAAATCATGCCCAAGATTGTGGCCAAAATCTCCTGAATCATTGGAGTCTGATGATGAATTTAATCCTCTCTCTCCTGACTCACCTGTTACTCAGTTCAGATGTCCCCATAATGAAGAATTGCTAGGGCCTGCTTCAAGAACTTTGACCTATGCACAGGTTGTGCGAGGCTTTACACATGACAACAAATGTGACACTTTATTTGACTTCCAAAGTAGTGACTTGAGAACTATGCCTTCTGCATCTTTGCCATCAGAAGCATCTGATACAGAACAT